CTGGAGTTTGTAAAATGTTCGGAGATACATAAGTATTTTCTTTCATATCATCCAAAAGATTGAGAAAACTATCATCTTGTTGTTCATCAGATGTACTGACTTTTTCAATGCTTATATTGTCCGATGACAATTTTGTTCTATGCTAGTTTCATGGCCTTTTTCTTTTATTATTATCTCTTACAGCATGTTGAAATGCTACTGATGATACGACTCCAGTATGCTCTGATAAATTCAGTAAAGGTTCTTTATTATTCCGTAAATCATAAATCAATATTCCTCCTTTCCTATGACCACACATCATCATTATTCCATCACTTGACATGTCAACCGATGTTAAAGCATATGGTGACTCACGATTGCAAACAGATTGCTTGGTCCGTAAATCACACATACAAATTAAATGATCATAGCCAACAGAAACAAAAAAATTGGTATTAATGGGTGATAAAGCAATGCCAGATGCAATAGATGAATGATTTTTGGCAATAAATAAATGATTTTTACGCTTTACTACGTCCCAGATGGCTACAAACCATGATCATTTGTTGCACCAAACATTCCATGTTCTCTACTACTATATTTTAGTGATGTTATAGGCCTAAAAATAAAAACAAATATTCAATATCAAATTAAATACGAGAAGAAATTAAAAATGATATATATTTGTGCTTGATATGATAGGATATGAAATAGCATATTATAAACGTATTAAATGTATATATACCAGCTTGTTGAGTTTATGGTTAGAGACTGCATCCTCTTGTTGGTTGTTAACCCATATAAATTAATATGACCATCTTCACAACCAACACTCATATAATTGTCATTGAATGAAATATCAATACAATTGACATTGGCGTGAGTTGAAACCATTGTTTTGCTGACCTCTTGCTTTTTTGTATCCCATATTTGCACATCGCCATTACCGAAGCCCATGCCTATAAATCTGTGAGTATTTTTGAAAAACACGGCAGATTTTACTCCATGAATTTTGATACTTTGTAAAACCTTGGCTTCTGAGAAATATGGTCTCACAATTTCACAACATCCTGTGGAAGGAACCACTAGCAAATATTTGGAGTCATAACTCCAATCAATAGAATGAACGGGTTCTGTGAAACTTCCATATTCACATAGAGGTTTATAATTGCTGGTATCATAAAATACTATATTATGGCCACCCGATGCCATTGTATCTCTGCTATCCTAGAGATTAATAGTATTATTAAAATAATGATAACATCTAAAGCAAATAACACTTTTTACCATGTTTAATTATAATTATTACTATATCATAACAAGAGAAATTTACTTACAGTGAACACTTGTGCTCTTGCTCTTATATTGTTAGTGTGTGTATGAAGTTTTTGAATAATTTATATGGAAACAAAAAACTTGAATCAGCTGTGTTACATGTTACAATGATTCGATTACTCATATCTCTTAAAAATGCGCTCGTATTTCATTTATTGCAACAATAACAATTTGTATGTTTCATTCAATTTAAATGTCAAAAAACGCATTCTTTGATTGGACAAGTAGAAGACAAACCGTTATTTTCAAGGTTCGCATAGTAAGACAAAACAATGAAGAAAGGATACCGAAGAAGTTTCATTAATTTTTATTCGAGCACTAGCGCCACTACCTTACTAGGCCATTTTGAAAAAAAATCTATGGAAGTATCCATATATATACTCTTCTTTTATCTATGGAGGTATTTTTTATTTAACTTTTGTACAACGGAAGAACTGTCAAACCGGTGTCAAATGAACAAAATGCAGTATTTTGAATGTCTTCTGTGTATATAATATAATTTTAGAATATTTGGGCTAGAAAATATATAATAAGTTCGTATCTATGATAATATTGACTGGAACACTAATATAGAAATTTAGGTACAAATTGTAAGCTTACTATTAGTGTGCCATATAAATTCATTGCTCAAGAATGGCTGATGAAGAAGATCCAAAAGAATATCGGTGGGAGTCTGGATATGAAAAGACTTGGTAAGCATTTTATTGCTACTGCATATTCAATACAGATAAAGACTGGAGTTACATTTATATTTTTTTAAGGGAGGCAATTAAAGAAGATGATGATGGTTTGGTGGAAGGATCTATTGCAGACATCATACAGAAAGCAAAAAGGCAGCGACAGGCAGCACGAGTTGGCCATTCAAGATTGGGAATGATGAGACATTTATATATTATAATTGATTGTTCAGATTCAATGAATATACAGGATCTTAAACCAACAAGACTACTTTGCACATTAAAAGTATAGCTATTTTGATAGGTTTTGACTTACCAGGGAATCTTCAGGTTTACTTTTCTGGGTTTTATTATATTTAAGGCCTATTATATTTCAAGGGGATTGTTTTAACTACCAACTATACCATCATGTAAAGTTTCATCAAAATCCCAGAGGAGTAAATGAGAGTGTTCCCAGAAGAATATTTTAACATTTAATTTATATATCTTCTAAATTAGTAGAATTAATGGTTGCAAAATCACTAATTTTGAATTTTAACTTCTGTTCTTTGTTTTCTTACCATGAAACATTTGTCCATTAGTAAAAATAATTAATTTTTTGTATATGATATGCAATGTTTCCTACATTTATATTTTTATGTTTTAGCTTCTTGAAATATTTATTGAAGAGTTTTTTGATCAGAACCCTATCAGCCACTTAGGCTTAATAGCAATGAAAAATAAACGAGCAGAAAAAATAAGCGAATTAGCTGGAAATTCTAAAGTACATCTTAAAGCCATGCAAAGGTTAATTTATAACAAATGCTACTGCAAAGTATATTAGTGTTTTCAATATTGTTTTTTATTTTAAGTTTAGGAAAAGTAAACATTTCTGGAGAGCCTTCTTTACAAAATGGTTTAGAATTAGCAATGAAGTCTTTAAAAATGTTACCTACCCATGCAAGTAGAGAAATATTGATAATTATGGGAAGTTTAACCACTTGTGATCCGAATGATATCTCAAAAACAATAGAAGTAAGATATTTTAGTACTATTATTATATAGAGGAAATAGAAAACGAAGTATTAACATTGAAAATATAACAGGAACTTAAGAAAGAAGGCATTCGTTGCTCGGTAATAAGTTTAGCTGCTGAAGTACATGCATGTCGTTTTCTCACACAGCAAACAAATGGGGTTTATGGTGCCATCCTGGATGATTCTCATTTCAAGTTTGTATAAATTTTTTTTGTTTATGTTTGTACGTGTTAATATTTTTTTGTGGCTTTACGATGGTAATATTTTGAATAAAAAAATATTTAATAAAACATTCTGCATACACTTACTTAAATTTTTCGTTTTTATAAATGCCATAAATTTATTTATGCAGTTCAAACTTTATCTTATTTATTCATTCAATACTCTAAATAATTTGTGAAAGTAGCTACTTTGGTGCTACTTTTGGTGTCTGGTTGCTATTTGAATCATAACTTTAATATTATAAATATAATTAAATATATATTTCAATATTATAAAATAAATATATGTACATTTCTAAATATAACACATTTAGATTATTGTTAATGGAGACATTAGCAATATCTTGTTTCTTCTAATATTTCGGTTTTCAATATTACAGAGATCAATTGTTAGCACATGTACTCCCCCCTCCAGCAGCCTCTGGGTTAGAAAGCTCTTTAATCAGAATGGGTTTTCCACATGGAATTCAGGGGGATCAAGATTCGAAGGATCCACCTTTAACAATGTGCTTGTGGTAAGATATTTGTTGAGTTCTGAGAATATTAAAAAAAAGCTTTAAAGAGTTATATATACCATACTCATAATGAAAATTAAGATGTAGATTTTTTACAGTCACATAGACAGTCCAGATGATACCAGGTGTAAATTATCTGTTGGAGGTTATTTTTGCCCTCAGTGTGCTAGTAAGTATTGTGAGTTACCAGTCGAATGCTTGGCTTGTGGCTTAACACTGGTTGCTGCTCCACATTTAGCAAGGAGTTATCATCATTTATTTCCAGTAGCATCATTTAATGAAGTTAAATTTGAGGGACAATCAACAAATTGTTTTGGTTGTCAAAAATGCTTTATTGAAGCAGATAAAAATGTAAGTATAAGAAAAACATAGTTTTTAGCATTTAGAATAGTCACATATGATTGAAATTACATTTATTTTATATTTTGTAGGTATATCAATGTGGCCGATGCTGCAAAAACTTTTGTGTAGATTGCGATATCTTTATCCATGAAACTTTACATACTTGTGTAGGATGTGCAACTAACCCCGCCAAAGTCTCAAATCAACCTATTGCTTCATTAGCAGATACAGCTGCTGTCCGAAGTGTTCTTCCTCAATTATAATTTATAGTTTAAATGTATTACTACACATATGTTAACATAGAAAAATACAAACAAGTATTTATTTTTATATTGGATTTTGTGATTCCTACTATATGCGATAGGTTTTAACATTTTGATTTGTTACATGACTTTATGTAAAAAGCAATTGATATTTAAGTCAATAATATACATAAATAATATAGCTTCATTACATTTGCAAACTAATGAATAATTTGATTATGCAGAAAGCTGTATATTTATGAAAGCAGACATTTAACATAGTTCTATATTGTTTAAACGAAAACAGTTTTTCTGGAATGTTGTAATATATATTCAAAATTTAATAAATATCACAGATGTTATACTAAGATAGGTGTAAGAAAATTGTGAGGTTTTAATAATTGCTCATTATTCAAAGTAAAGGACTATGTTTTCAAATAGCATTTTGAAAAATGATATCAGAATTTAATACAATGAAAGATTTCTAGTAATATACTACAAATGCATCTTGGTACGTATCCAATTTTACATTCTATAATGACTTAAAAATATCTTATGTACATGAAGTAATTAAAGACAGAAACAGTACTCATATATGAAAGATTGAGGATCATCTGAATGAAATACTAAGATCAGTTATCCAGGTATGAGAAAACTGAACACACGTTGTGTTGGCCTATGAGCTTTAATCAGAAAATTGCTCGCTGGAGTGATTTAAATACATTTCTTTTCTTTATTAAATATTATTAGTTATATTTTAACCTTATAATAACAGCTTATAAAATTGTATCATTTTTATTGCTATTTATAATATCAATCACAAAGAAATCATAGCAATAAAAACACAAAGCTAAGACTGCTAGTAGAACTTATATAAGTTTTAGTCATGTCTAAGAAAGTTGTACATAAAATGATCTGAAAAAGCAATACAATAATTTTGCTGTTTATTTATTTATCAAAATCTTTGTTAGATATAATTATTTTGATAATGTGAAACTCATAACATATGTTAGTATAACAATAAAATAGTGTTGAAAATATTTGCATAGAATTATTCATCAAATGCAAGGAAGAAAGCAATATGAAGAAATAAATATTATTTATTTATTATTTCAAACTAAACATCATTGTAAATATGTTTATTGTCTTTTGTCAAATTGGTTCTCCGTGATTTTATCCCTTCTATCGCTTATCTCATATTGCCTTCCTGGCAACACTGTGTCTAGCAAATGCAAACATTACAAGACTTGCTTTGTGTTAAATTTGACGTTTTAGATTATACAAACTTTCGTGAACAACAATATTTTTAAGAACATGATTCGTTTCTAGTGATATAATTATAAGTGCAATGTATATACATTAAATCTATGTGCAATTAAAATCTTTCATCATGTAGCGTATAGGAGAAATTTATTTGCCTAAAATCTGCGTTATTGATCTTTGGCTTACTAATCAAAAGTGATCGACTTCTTTCTTGTAGTTTTGTAGTAGTTTTTAGATCATTTGTTAATAATGGAAATTGTGGGTGATTTCGAGTATAACAGCAAGGATTTAATAGGACATGGAGCCTTCGCTGTGGTCTTTAAAGGAAGGCATAGAAAGGTCGGTGACCTAACCTTTATTTCATTAGAAAAGGCCTAGCAAAAGTATATATTTGTTGAAACATCCTTGAACGTTTATGTTGAAGTTTGCTACTCTACAAAATTTTAACAGAATTTGTTTAGAAATAAATGATTTAATCAAAATTCTTTTGTGCGTATTATTTAGAGTGCGTCACAGTTTTTTTTAAACGAGTTATTTTTATTTATTTACGTATTTATTTATCAATACAATTGAAAACTTGTAGGAACGAAAGATAAATAATGAAGAATCTTAATGCTTCTAAAAATCATATCTAATAGCACTTAATACTAGAAATATATATTTTAAATTATTATTATAATAATAATATACCATTTGATAATTATTATTATATTTATATTTATAATAAATATATAATTAGTAGCCAATTCGTCTAATCAAAAATGGTAATTAATTTTCAAATATCGTTCAACAAACATTTCGACACTTGATATGTATCATCATTAAATCAATCTAAAATCAATCAGAATCAAATAAAATCAAACTAACAAAATTAAAATAATATTAATACATCATATTATAAAAAAAGGAAAAAATTGAAGTAATAATAAATACAGAAACATAAACTTTATTTAAAAAAAACAAAATGAATATAATGAATATTTTAACATTACAATGATGCTTAGTCCATTATCAAAATTAAACTGACAGTTGTTTATTGTTATTTAAATTTTTTTTAAATAAAAATATTCAAATTTTATGTCGAGGCTTTTGTTTTGATTTACTTCATGATGACACATGCTAAGTGTCGAAATGTATAAATAAAGAATTAATAATTATAATTGTTTCATATCAAATATATCTCAACGTCAAAAAAATTATATATATATATATATATATATATATATATATATATACATGTATATATTCAATAGATAAGTCCTAGACTTTTTCAATATATTGATTGTTTCTTTTCTGAACAGTAAATCTAATAATAAAAACAATTTGTTTTTTGAAGATGTTTAATAACGACGTTTCGGAACTAGATACGTTCCATCATCAGGTTTATCTGTCAAAGACAATGTTTTTTAAAACTATTAATTAACATTATTTAATGATGGTTATTACAGATTATTTAGAAAAATTATAAAGGAATGGATTATGTACCAGTGTAAAGAGTAATAAAAATTAACTAAAAAAGGTTTTATATATAAAATTGAGAAGCAAAAATTATTTACCTGTAATAATTTATATATCCATATCACTAATATTTTTTGTTAGAAACACTCGATTTTTTCGAGGATATTTGTAAATGTTTTGACTTCACAAGACTTTAACACACTGATATGGAGTTCTGTCGGCCAGATGTAAGGGATATGTACGGAATTTAGGCAAAAATAATTTTTTATGGCTCTTATTGGTAATTTATGAAAAAAGGGAATGTATTGCTTCAGTAAATGTTGAGAAATTTTATTATGTACATATACATGCACATACATATGCACACCTACATATACATACATACATTTGCATATGTCCATATATTCATGTACATACAATTATATACACGAACATATACGCAAGTACATGTATATAGCGTATATACAAAAACATACATATAAGCACATGTATAGATGTGCATATATTACTACATATATACATGTATATATATACACAAAAATTATTAAAGGATTAATCGTTTTTAATTAGGTTTAAAAAATTATTAAATTAAAAAATTAAATTATTAGACATCTTCAAAAAACAAATTGTTTTTTATTATTGGATTTACTGTTCGGAAGAGAAACAATCAATATATATATATATATATATATATATAAATATATATATATGTATATATATAAGATTATTTGAAAATTTTATATACTGTTAGAAATCGTGCGCGATTGCTAATAGTAATAAGAAAATTGCTCCAAAAATTAAATATCCTCTTGATGTCATTTTATTAATGAGTCTTTTTTTGATAACTTATCTATATATTTAACTTCCCGTAGGGCAAGTTATAGTAATCGCAAAAAAATCGAAAATGAAAATTTTTATATATCTTTACGTTTCAGAGGTTTCTGAACATTTTGGCATACCTTAGAAAAAATGGATGTATGTGTGTGTGTGTGTGTGTGTGTGTGTATGTATGTATGTATGTATGTGTGTGTATGTATGTGCGGATACAAATTTTCGTCGACGATTTCGGGAACAAGAATCAACCGATTTGAATAATTCAAAAAACATTCGATCCGTATTGATAAGGAGACGTGCTGATTAGTTTTTGGCAAAGGCAGGTCAAGCCGTTCCGAAGATACGGGGCAAAAAGTTCCGAAAACGGTAACTCAGTTTTTAAGAGAACGGAGCGTCCGATTTCAATAATTCAAAAAACATTTTATTTGTATTGACAAGATGAAGAATCGATACAACTTTCATGAAGGTAGGTCCAGCGGTTTCGGAGATATAGAGGAAAAAGTAAAAAAATGAGCCATTTGGCGGTCAAAAATGATCATTAGACATATGCACATCAAATTATCAGACATTTTATAGAGATTTTAACAATAAGTATACATTTTGTTAACATTCCTATCGGTTCCGTACCAATGCTTATGCGTTAGACAGCGACGCGGCGCTTACGCGCTTTATATTTTGTCCCTATGTAGTTGAAGCAGTACGATTGCTTTGAAAAAAAGTTCAGATCTTCCACAATATGTCAAAATAAAGAAAAAAAAATTTTATTTCAAAAAAAAAAAAATTTAAAAAAAAAATTTTTTAAAAAAAAAATTTTTTAAAAAAAATTTTTTTTTTTCAAAAAAAACTAATTTTTTGTCCAATTTATAGTTTCTCAAAAATCTTATTTTTTCAAAGTAATTTTTTTTCAAAAATGTTAATCGTTTTAAAAAAAAAAAATAATTTTTGGTACGGGAAGTTCCAGCAATTTGCCTTAAGGCACGATGCCCTAATTGCCTTAAGACAGAATTCCACTTACAGCTAGTTTCATGTTAAAATTAGCTAAATGTTTTTGAGAGCGATTGTGGTACTGTTAGTAAACTTACGATTGTTGTTTTAAATATGTAGTTCTTAAAATTTTGCGCAGATGATATAAACAAACCTTGACACGTGTGTTCGCTCTCGCTCACGTTGCGTATATAACTAGTAAAGCCTTTCGAGAATTCGCTTTTTTGGTCAATGAATTTAAATTTTACGCACTTCACTTTTATTGATTTATTAGTATAATATATATTTTGCATATCTCAGTCAGACGGAACTGTCTGGTCATACAAAATATCTATACAGGGTGTCCCAAACCTTGATGTCGAGTCGAAACTGGGTGATACTATTTACCTTAACAGTACTGAAAAAATAAGAAAACTAGTGGGGTGCATGACATTGTGCCTTAAGGAAAATTGCTGGAACTTCCCGTACCGTAATTAAAAATCTGGTTACGAAACCCAAAAAAATTTACACAAAATGTGTACACATTATTAAAATCTCTATAAAATATCTGATAATTTGATTTCCATATGTCCAATAAACATTTTTGACCGCCAAATGACATTTTTTTAACTTATTTTTATTGAGAGTCCATAACCGCTGGACCTGCCTTCCCAAAAATTTAATCAGTTTTTTATCTTGTCAATACAAGTAAAATGTTTTTTGAATTATTAAAATCGGACGCTCCGTTCTCTTAAAAACTGAGTTACCGTTTTTGGCACTTTTTGCCCTGTATCTTCGGAACGGCTAGACCTACCTTCGCCAAAAACTAATCAGCACGTCTCCTTATGAATACGAATCGAATGTTTTTGAATTATTTAAATCGGTTGTTCGGTGTTCCCGAAATCGTCGACGAAAATTTGTATCCGCGCGCATACACACACACACATATATACACACATACACCCATTTTTGGGTAGTATGCCAAAATATTCAGAAACCTTTGAATCGTAAAGATATATAAAAATTTTTATTTTCGATTTTATTGCGATTAATATAACTTACCATACTGGAAGTTAAAAAATTATCCAATGTCGTTTGGAAATTATGAGCTTTTAAGTGCAATCTAGAGTTCTGGTGAAATTAAGACCATTTTTCGATTATTGTGGTTATCTTTTACTACTTTTTTTCCTTTAAACTTTAAAACCGTAACTGTGAATAACATTTCTAGAATCACAGTTGAAAAAAGCACCACAATTTTCCCGAGTTTTCAAGAATTACGTTGACTTTTGTTGATCTGTGAATTTAATTTTTTTAAAATCGGTCGACTTTGTGAGGCCTTTCTTAAAAAAAGTGTGTTGGCAATTTTCATCAAATTATTTTATTGCGCATTTAATAAGTATTGTAAATTAGTAAAATACTTGATAATTTTATTATTGAAAAATTATATATATTATATTATATTATATTATTTATATTAAGTAAAAAAATAAATGCTAAAAATGTCTTGATTTTTACTAGTTAACTTCCCGTAGGGTAAGTTATAGTAATCGCAAAAAAATCGAAAATGAAAATTTTTATATATCTTTACGTTTCAGAGGTTTCTGAACATTTTGGCATACCTTAGAAAAAATGGATGTATGTGTGTGTGTGTGTGTGTGTGTGTGTATGTATGTATGTATGTATGTGTGTGTATGTATGTGCGGATACAAATTTTCGTCGACGATTTCGGGAACAAGAATCAACCGATTTGAATAATTCAAAAAACATTCGATCCGTATTGATAAGGAGACGTGCTGATTAGTTTTTGGCAAAGGCAGGTCAAGCCGTTCCGAAGATACGGGGCAAAAAGTTCCGAAAACGGTAACTCAGTTTTTAAGAGAACGGAGCGTCCGATTTCAATAATTCAAAAAACATTTTATTTGTATTGACAAGATGAAGAATCGATACAACTTTCATGAAGGTAGGTCCAGCGGTTTCGGAGATATAGAGGAAAAAGTAAAAAAATGAGCCATTTGGCGGTCAAAAATGATCATTAGACATATGCACATCAAATTATCAGACATTTTATAGAGATTTTAACAATAAGTATACATTTTGTTAACATTCCTATCGGTTCCGTACCAATGCTTATGCGTTAGACAGCGACGCGGCGCTTACGCGCTTTATATTTTGTCCCTATGTAGTTGAAGCAGTACGATTGCTTTGAAAAAAAGTTCAGATCTTCCACAATATGTCAAAATAAAGAAAAAAAAATTTTATTTCAAAAAAAAAAAAAATTTAAAAAAAAAATTTTTTAAAAAAAAAATTTTTTAAAAAAAATTTTTTTTTTTCAAAAAAAACTAATTTTTTGTCCAATTTATAGTTTCTCAAAAATCTTATTTTTTCAAAGTAATTTTTTTTCAAAAATGTTAATCGTTTTAAAAAAAAAAAATAATTTTTGGTACGGGAAGTTCCAGCAATTTGCCTTAAGGCACGATGCCTTAATTGCCTTAAGACAGAATTCCACTTACAGCTAGTACATTTTACTCTCATTCAGTTCAAATGTTTGTTTCAATGTAACAGAGCGAAACATTTCAACTAAATGTGAAGGAAATGAGTTAGCTGTTATTATGTTATTTTTCGATTTTTGTTTTTTTACTCGTAATTTTTTATTAATAAAATTATCAAGTATCTTATTATTTAACAATACTGAATAAATGGGCCAGCTATTTTGATGAAACTTGCCAACACACTTTAGTCCACATGTTTTAAAAGAGGGCCTTTCAAAGTCGACCAATTTTAGAAATTTATATTCATAATTCAACAAAAGATCTTGATTACAGTTCCAAAGTTTAAATAAACAAAATGAATAAAAAGCCAAAGCCCTAGGTAGCACTTGAAAACTCATAATTTCCAAAGAACGTGAGTTAATTTTTTTCAGGACAGTTAAGGTCAATATTATCTCTTCGTTTCGGCTTGACGTCAAGATCTGGGACACCCTGCATATATATTTACAATTACATGTTATTATTATATATTTAATATGATTTTTAGTTTATTATCAAACTTCCTTTTTGTTAATTAACACCGCACAAGAAACATAAATGATTCTATTTATTTATAAAGTATTTTATAAACGCTTAAAAATTTATCATTTATGAGACGTCTCATAATGAATGTACATACATTGTTTACTTCTTTCACAATGCAATTCAAAAATAGAAAATCATTTTATTATTAATAACATTTATGCCTGACGTTGCAGAAACGTTTGATGGAAAATTATAGAAAATGATTTTGGGGTTTATAAGTTATTCATAATTTTACTTCTTATTTCCTAAAGTTCATGTATGTTGTACACTATCTGTAGTGTAATAATTATTAACTTTTTGAATGAGATGGTTTTACTCAAAAATCTTTGTTTTTTTGACTTTTCAAATAATTCTGAATCGTTATTCGAGAAGACAATTTCAGCTTATTTATTTATAAACAGTTCAAGATATTTCATCTACCTTTTCTCAGAAACGTTTTTTTAAGGTCACTGTCCTAAAACGAAAGAGTTCTCTCAGATTATTCTTATTTGGTTTGAAAAATTCAAGCTGTTGTATTTCTATTATATCAAATGAAAATAGCCAAGCCATGTCTTTGCAATGAAATTACATTTATAAACAACTCGAATGTTCCAACTTTTTAATAACATTAATCAAAAAGTTTTTTGTATTGAGCTTGGATTTTTTATAAATTTTTTTTGGTCAGTTAATGAATCCATATTTTGGCAATAAGAAACAGTTGTAAACAAAGATAGCTGATAGTTTCTTCTTAGCTAACTAAATATATTTTGTTTATGAACACAATTATTTAGTAGCTCATGTTTTCATCATGGATTAGTTTTCTATAGAAACCGAATTCTTCGAAATCAACGGACTAAAACATTTTTTTGGCAATTTTAGAAATTCAAAAACTATTCGATAGAATCTCAGTGTTCTTTTCAAATCGGGAAGTAGCCTGTTTCAAGGCAAACTTACATCTAATTCATATATTTTAATTTGTATGTTTAATTCATTAACTTTAGTTAATGAATAAACTTGTTTCAGTTTTAAGGAAATACATTGAGAAAGTTGAACATTAGTTATATAATATATAGTAGACACACATACAATATACACATTATATATATATATATATATATATATATATATATAATATATATAAATATAAATATTTAATAATAATGCAGTTTCGTACCAAACTCACTCATACATAAATACATTAATGAATTAATTGAACGATAAAAACTAGGGTTACTTGTGTATCTATGGGTTACTTATATATTAAAAAATCATGTTTCATCAAAGGTCTAAAAAATGATTTTTTCTATTTAAAAATGAATTATCTTCTTTGCACACAGTTGTGGATATATATATAATAATAATTGCTAATTAATTCTCTAAATTTATTTTTACTTGCCAAAGACTTTTACTACTTTTTTTTATTTGCAGAAGACGCATCTTGTGGTGGCAATTAAAAGCATAACAAAAAAGTCTTTGGCCAAATCTCAAAATTTGTTAGGAAAGGAAATCAAGATTCTCAAGGAACTTACTGAATTGCACCACGAAAACGTAGTCGCCCTCCTGGACTGCAAAGAATCTGCTCACAATGTATATCTCGTAATGGAGGTAAGTTATTTAAAACTATCCTAAATGTCGAAATTTTGAAGTCGTATCCTTCTTCTTTACCAGAGCCTTCATCAGAGGACGTTAAAAAATATATTTTTTCTGATACTTACTATTACTTTTCCTTAAGGTGACCATACGTCCCAGTTTGACCGGAACAATTCTGGGTTTCTACCTTGTATTCCATTTTTCCCGAAATGTCTCGGGTTTTTGAAAAGTATAAGTTTTATAATTTAGTCTTTGCAATTGCTTGACAATAAAATTACATCCACCCATTAAATTATCAGAAAATGATATATTATGTAATAAGGCAACGAGCTTGCTTATATGATACAAAGACATGAATGAGAAAATTGACGAATACAAAATTTCAAAGGCTGGTTAAAATAAACTCTCACATTAGTCTAGTCATTTAAGCTTAAATTAGGTTAGAATCTCAGAATTTGAGATACCCAGCTGTAAGTCTGTAAATACTTGTATATTGACACCCTAAAGTTGTCTCAAAACCTACATATGGTATTGACACCCTACCATATGTAAGTTTTGAGACAACTTTAGGGTGTCAATATACAAGTATTTACAGACTTACAGCTGGGTATCTTGAATTCCGAGGTGAAATTACTATAATGAAACATGAAACTTGCTGTCCCGATTTTGACTAAAAAATATAGTTACCTTATTTTAATGCACATATTAAAGGAAACGATCAGTCTAAAATATCACAAAATGAATTAAAATTATTTATTTCTACAAAAAAAGTTAAATAAATAAGCGAATTTGTGCATTGTAAACCAATTGCTGCAGTTTCTATTATTAACTTGTTTCAAGCAAGTTAACATTTTGGAAAATAGTCTATAATTTCAATTTCACATCTCAAGTAAAAGTGATCTATGTAACAGTCAAAATCTACCATTTTCAAAGAAGCCAATTTCTTAGTAATTAAAATATTCAGGTATAGTTTAAAGTAATAAAAACTATAACATTACAAAACTAAAGAAACCAAAAGTGTTATATTAGTGTAAGGTAGACGTCTAACGAAAACTCTTTCATTAGAGGTCCACAATAAGAGCATTTCTGAATTTCTTACTTCAAAATAAATTAATAAATATTTTCAAATGAAAGTATATTTTTCGCGCTTTGCGGTTTGACTCCAAAATGTTTTCTATAACCTTAATGGGAAATTCTATAGATTATTTAAGAAGGTCGAGTATACTAGTTTGTTTGCCTGATGTTGAATGATGACACACATCTGGTTCTCGAAACGTATGTATTGAAATAAATATAGATATTTTATTTCGACACATTGGCACACACACACATATATATATATATATATATATATACTAACTGACCCAGCAAATGTTGTTTTTCTCAGTATGGTATTTTCTAAACAATTTCTAGAGAATCAAAAAAATTAATACTTTAAGTGTGTAAGGATGCGTTGGTAGAATGCTATATACAATGAGGTATTATAAAAACAATTAACCCCATTAGTTTGTCTATATTTTGTTAATACAATCAAACTGGAAGTTTTAAATACTTTCTATAGAAAACATGGCAAAATCCAATCCAAGTCTTTTTTGGTCTTTCGACTTATATAGTCATTACAAATTCTATTTAATCGAAAATTGATAATGATTCAAGTTTTTCAGATTCTTTTTGAATTCTGTAAATTGTGTATAATTGTAAATAATACTACTGAGCTCATACAAAATTTTCTAATTTCTGCGAGGAGAGATAGCAAATATATTAAGTATTTCCTTTTGACCTGCTTTTGAAAAGTTTCAAGTAACATTCCATCGATGGAATCAATTAAAGTAAATTTAATAAAAAGTATATGTGTAGAGCAGGGCGGGACACAAAGGTTCAATTTGACTTTGAGCAATTATAAATTATATTATGAAAACCAAATCAATTATATCACAACAAATATCACATTTCAAACGAATAATTATCTGACTATGTTCAGTAAAACTGCCAGCTCCTTCATCATTGTAGAAATGTTCCTTTTTTGCTATATTTCAAAAATGTGTTATCTATACATTGGTACAACCGTTGAATACGAATTGTACAATTCATTAATTTCATATTGTAGTTCGTTAAAATAATAAGGTGTTGTCAAAAGCACTAAGAAACTCTCTTTATTTTCATTATCACTATACAAAAAATGAGAATATATGGCATTGTATTCATTTCATAATTACATCATTGATTCTAGTCAGGAATCCAATAGTTCGGATCTCATTTTGATTTGAGTTACGAACCGAATGGCTCATATATTTAATTCCACTCAAGTAAAATCTGATCGATTGATTTGTGACTGGCGCGATTCGAATGGCTCTAATTAGCATATGACTAGCATTTGATTTTACAATCGTCCAATGTTAGGATATATAAATGCTATAAATTTACGATCAGATTTTAATTAACAACTAATCTATTGAAAATAATGTTTAAAAATGCAGATGACTTTTAATGCTCTAGATTGAATCTAGAATGAAAATTTATTTTAAATTTATTGCCATTTTAACAATATCTTAATAATATTTTATTAATTATTTTAGAGTGGCAAGAAAACCTACCACAGCGCAGCTTTAGCCTTCTTTTTAATGGGTTTTAATAAATATAGATGTATCAAATCAATCCAGATGTATCCATCCATTAATGCATTACGAAATATATATATATGAATCTTAAAACTAGAAGAAATTCTAACACATAAACGATTATTGCTAGAACACACCAAATATCTGAAATTAATTTAATCTTATGATCACCATAAAATATAAATTAAAATACCATTAAAAATAAATGACTCTAGAATCAGAAAAATATTTTCCTGAAAATTTTTGCTTCCTAAAAAATTTGCCTCAGTTAATTTTGTTTTGGAATGTAAAATCCTGAATTCTTCGTCCGTTTTTGTTACATTCTCTGGTAAGAAGATCAGACTTTATTCAGAGGCATTTCTTCGGGCAATGGTGGTTCGTGCTGCTGTCGATTTTGTCTGTTTCCACCATTTCCCATGCTTCTCCTGATTTTGGGCCAACTCTTTTTGATAACAACTGCAGCTATTACCACCCCAATCACGACCAGAATTACACCTGGAATTAAATGCAATTATATACCAGTTTACATTGAACGATTTATAAAGAAACAAAAATATTGATTATACAGAAAACTTTAGCCCCAAGCAATAAAATATATTTTATATAACCCTCGGAACGCACAATTTGTAAAAACATAAGTTGATTTAAGGGGGTTGTTCTTTTTTTATTTTTCTTTGTTTCAAAAAAAATCATCTCAATATCTATTTTTTTGACGAAGTTATAGATATATTTATCTCTATATGTATGATCATCTGAAAGCGTTTTTTTATCGCTCCGCGGGCTATTGTGTGCCAGCTGCCTCTTTTTCATTATAATACCTCGATATTATGAAAGCTAAAAACCTTAGAATTATTTTAAAAAAAATCATCTCAATATCTATTTTTTTGACGAAGTTATAGATATATTTATCTCTATATGTATGATCATCTGAAAGCGTTTTTTTATCGCTCCGCGGGCTATTGTGTGCCAGCTGCCTCTTTTTCATTATAATACCTCATGCACATGACCTTTTTAATGTGTCAGCATCTTTGAACACCATGGTGTATTTAGTACATTAAATTAAATGGTGTATTTAGTACATTATATTAAAAACTTGAAATACGTTTTTCTCATAATGACTTTTTTCAATGCGGTGCCACAAATTAAAAAAAAAAACTACAAGTCGGATCGACTTGCATTTTTTTTTAATTTGTTCACCACTGCAATACCTAGTCCCCCTACCTCAAACAACTTGATAACATTACGCAAAAAAAATTTGCAAAGCTTCTCGCCCCAAAAAAGGCCTTTTTTGACTATTTTTTTTAAAATAGCTGCCATTTTTTTCCTTCTTTTTGTTTCGGGCGATGCGCAACAGATATATCTGTGGCACCGCAAAAGAAATCGATTTTGCAAGACCGACTTTGGCGCCCCCTGGTTAAAAAATGACGGCGCAAAAAAAATCATGTAATATTCTATGACTTTGTAATTTTTATTTAAAAAAAACGCGTCTCTATGATAAATACATTTCGAGAAAAACAAAAACAAATATCTTGCATTTTTTGTAACAAAAAAAGAACAATCCCCTTAAGCTAAAACTTGTGACTAACAAGTTTAGCTACTAAACGTTATAAAGAAATAAGAGATCAGGCGGATATTTTTTTCAGTTTTTTATAAATTGACGGAGTGGTGGGCAAAAAATGTTATTACATTCAATATAATTGCTTGGCAATTGGCAGTTTTGATTGCTGGCTTTATTCATATCTTTAATTTTTTTTTATAAAATTGAAAAATGAAGTTTTATGAATTTATACGTACCAATAAGTATAGTATCGAGCGCTGTACCACCCCCAACAGCAGATGCTTGCATTACTTCACCCTCATCTTTTTCTTCCAAAATTTGTTCTTTTTCAGTTTTCGTTAGAATAGAAGGTGCTATTTTCATATCTTCCGATTTACTTTCAATGTCGATTTTTGTTGCGACGGTAGACTCCACTTCCTCAATTTTAGTTTTGACTACTTTTTCCTCAATGATATTTTCAGTAACAACTACTGGTATTTCCGCGATTTCCGAGATTGCTTCATCATCGCTGTCTGAAACTTTTCTAGACATAGTGTCTACCACGTTTGGAGCCAAATTTTCATCGGACACTTTCGTTTCAATAATTGGTTCTTCTGTAACAATTGTACTTGAATTTGTTTGATCCATAGGTGTTTCACTGGTTTGCTCTTCAGATTCATCAGTTTCAGCAACTTCTGAACTTTCAGTCGAATTAATTTCTGCACTATTAATAGTATCATCACTTGTAGACATCGTAGTATCAGCGATCATATTAGAAGTAACTGTCGAATTCGTATCATTCAAATTCTGGCCATAAAGTTCTGTCGTGCTACAGCCAATTGATTTATCACAACCAGATTCAGTGTCTTGCGTTTCATTCTTTTCTGAGGATGATACCGACAATGTGGTCTACCAAAAATGGGTAAAAATAATACAGATCAAAATATAGATTATAAAATATTTATAATACGTAGGTTGGATTATATAGTAGAAACCGATTATAATCATTTATAAATATTAATATTGCAAATTAATTGATTCAAAAATATATTTTTTGCTATATGCATTTTGTTTATTAACAAAAATATTTTTTTATAGATCTCTCTTGGAATGTTTTGTTGTTGTTTCAAAAACAATAATTAAAATACATGCAATATTTATAATTATTACCTCTTCTGATGAATTATTTATCCCATCAAATTCATTTACTGTTTGATTTTGAAGTGATACATCTTGGGTAGTCTGCGCAGAAACTCTGAAAATATACGAATTTGATTTAATGGATATATATTTTTAATAACCGATATATTTAATTTTGTTTTATTTAATTTTTGCTTTTTGAACTTTTATACTGAAGATATGTATACTTTTATATCGAAGATATTGATATTGAAACTTTGAGAATCTGGTTGAAACTTTTTAACTTCCCGCAGTGTAAGTTATTGTAAACGTCTAAAAATCGAAAATGAAAATTTTTATCTATCTTTACGTTTCAAAGGTTTCTGAACATTTTGGCATACCTTAGAAAAAATGGATGTATGTGTGTGTGTGCGGATACAAATTTTCGTCTACGTTTTCGGGAACACCGATCAACCGATTTGAATAATTCAAAAAACATTCGATTTGTATTGATAAGGAGACGTGCTGATTAGTTTTTGGAGAATTCAGGTCTAGCCGTTTGGAAGATACGGAGCAAAAAGTGCAAAAAATGGCAAGTTCTGAGAGAACAAATCGGCCGATTCGAATGATTTAAAAAACTTTCGATTTGTATTGATGTGAACAAACTGTATAGTTTTTGGTATAGACAGGTCGAGCCGTTTCGAAGATACTAATTCCGATTAGATCCTAGACACCCGCTCATAACGTTGTGCGTGAGCATGTCGTTATAGCTGAGTTGGTTGGCGCGTCACCGCAATTTTTTGCCATGCGCCCCACTAGTTTACAACGTGTTCCAAATAAAACATAATTTTATTTGCTTCTTAGTAATAAACTAGATGTAAGAGGCAATTTAAATTAAATCAAGTTACTTGAACTTTACGATACCAAGAATTGAGATTTAGTACTTATCTGCTAATTATAAAGAAACGGCTGGACCGATCATTGCGTAAAAATAATTCACGCGAGTCATTTTCTGGCGAAAATATAAACTTCTCCTTCGAGAAGTAAATTAATTGATATATTAACTAGTGGAGTGCATGGCATCGTGCCTTAAGGCAAATTGCTGGAACTTTCCGTATCGTAATTGAAAATCTTGGTACGGAACCTAACACAATTTACACAAAATGTGTACACATTATTAAAATCTCTATCAATTATCTAGTAATGTACCACTTCATATACCACTAGTTGCCATATTTCTTATCATCAATAAGAAATTCAAAAACACAATAATAAGCGGTTTTTTTTTCTTTCTGTCGATAGCACTTTTTCTCTCTTAAATAAAGGATTTTTTTACTTCATTTCAAATTGAATATATGTAATTAGTTTGCATACATGTGGTGAAAGACGTCATAAAATTGAAACGATATATTCTATTTTAGTATTACTCATTCCGAAAATAAGACATTTCATTAATAAATAATCATTAAGTAATAATACATATAATCGTAATTGGAACTAGTTGAAGTATATCCAATATTTGCTTGTTTTGTTTTATAAGCATTTGAAGACAAAATGTCTTCTTATTATTTTTGTCTATGATAATATATTTTACACGATGTAAGTGTAACTGTAATGTAAGTGATCGTCTAATTATAAATTGTATCAGCTCCTAGTTTTCTACTAAAATGGCACATGTACAACATATAAATTATCGGATTGTAGAATCTTCATACGGAAAAGTATTTTTAGGTTCCGACCGAGATATTATTGTATTTGCATCGCTATTAGTTGTTTCATCATCATTTATCCCTCAAATGAGTAAATATAAAATTCTTGCTATTTGATTTATACATCTAACTTACAGGTCTTTTTTAATAAATTTCTGATATTTTTTTGTTTAAAAAAAAATGTAAAAATATGTTGAAAATATACGGTCTTATTGAAAGAACAAATATCAACATATATGCAATAATTGTTAAAATCTTTAATAAATGATTTTATAGCTTTTAGTTTAATTCTTTCTAAAGATATGTGATGCATTTTAATTTTTTGCCTTACGAATTTGGTGTCAATAACCGTTTAGAATAACTCAAGGCTCTATTTTAAAAACATTTGAAAAATTCTAAGCTTGGTGTAGTTGCGTATTCCAATTATAGAACTTGGGTTTCTTAAGTAATTTTTTTTACGCAGATGACAACTTGGCACCAGTCAGTAGTGCGTTAATTAAGTAGCCCAATCGTGTCTGTTCTCGAAGATGACTGATAATACATTATAGTTAATATTTTCCATTTCGATTTAAATAAAAGAATTGTTTTCATATTTAACATATATAAATTTTTATTTACGAAATATACGCAATGAATTAATAATTATAAATATGTATATAATATTTAACAACAAGATTATCAAAAGCTCGATGTCTTAACTACGGGGTAACTTAAAATCTGAATTGTTATCAGTATGCGCGTGCAGCATACTGTTCCAAACTACATATAATTAATTTTTATAACTAAATCACTTTTTATGTGTAATCTTTTAAGGGCTTCTTTTTGGCTATCAACTTTATTAACCTGCAATATTTTATAAATTTCAAGATTGAAAATCGCGAACTCCCTTTTGTTAAATGTAATCATGTATCGCCAATTATTCATCTTAAATGGTTGAATAGTTGAATATAATTTTTTTTCTTACTTTACTGTATACTTTTCTATAATTAGTAATATATAAATTCACAAATCTCATTTTCTTTACTTTTGATTACTCCTATTGATTTTATTTGGATAGATCCGAATTTTAGTTTGGATGACTCAAGTTTCTATAATTCACTACTATTTTTTTCCTCACCATATAAATTACGATCGGTCTCCAGGAGTCATTTCCTGGAAAGTTCATCAAGTGATAAGCAATCAGTAATTAATTTTAAAATTATTCCCAAAAAATTGAGAAAGCAGAACCAGCCTTTTCTAGAGAGTCAGTAAAAAATAGGAGTTTAATTAATGGGAGAACAGATTAACGAATTGGAAAAATTATAAGAAAAAACATTTTATTTGTGATGACGATGTGAAAAGTTAATTAGTTGCAACAAGACTGTCCATGTAAACGACTTATATCTATTAGGCCAAAAGCTCGAAAATAAATTAAACAACGATCAGCTTTTGTTTAAATGAAAACTGAAAGCTTTTAAAAAAGCTACAATTATTTATCGTAGTAAAAAGTTAAATTGTTGAATTGATATGCAATAAAACATGAAAAATATCTTTACTAAAAGAGTGTTATCAGATAAGGAATATTAATGAGTAAATAAGGAATATTAATAAGTGTGAACATGAGTATAGATATCAACTACTACATCAGAAACCTTGTCATAAATATATGAACTAATTTTCCTTGTTCTATACGCGGCACGCAAAAAGTATATATCTTGCATCAGCTGAAGATACATCAGACAACATGAGACAAATTCAAAACCTGTCTGTTGTTTGTATCCGTAAAGATACATCGGCTATGCAAATTATATACTCATGTAGGTCAGGCAAAATTTTCTAAAAATACAAACTAGAAGCAAATACATTATCCCGGGATAAAAATGATAGAAAGCGACCATATTTTTAATTTCCCAAAGGAGAAGTTTATGTTTTCATAAAAAAATCCGATTCGCTAATTTTATGTTTTCTCGACGTTTCAAGTCATTCTGAATCGAATTAGACCAAATTTTTCAAATTATATTTGTAAAAAGTGTCTTAACTTTCTTTGGTTTAAAAATGTCATACATATTTTAAAAAAATTAAACAATCAAGAGAAGAAATATTTCAAATAGTTGGTATTTCTGTATGTGTATAACATATAAATAATAAAAGAAGTAGAACATAATGAATAGAATATATTATGATATTCTTAGGGTAGATCTTAATCTAGTGCTTTGCGTCAAAAAAGATTTAAATGCTTCTCGGTGCTCTAGATTCACCATGCATTTAAATGAAAGTAACCACGAAATCACGTGGTACCTTATTACATGCAAAACTGCAATAATGATAAATTATATGATATTAAAGAATTATCATCACTGAATATTTATTAAAAAGATTCACTTAATAACTTATGTTTATGATAAAAAATTACTATCAATATAATTCAAGTTGAATAAATTGTTGTCTAAAAATATAAAAACAGACAAACTCCAATTCTCGGTAGTATTGAAATGATTTGAAATAATCTTGCAACAATATCTTCGCATTGAATGGTTAAAAGTAGATTTTGGAAATTTTGGTACTTTTTTCAGAAGCCACAATATTAGATTTTTAATCTAATCTTTTATAAAACTAATTAACTTTTCACATCATCCATGGACTTGCTTTCTTAATGTACCTTATCTGATAACACTCTTCTAATCAGTAAAGTTATTTTTTATGTCTTCTTGCATATTAATTTAACAATTTAACTTCATACTACGACAAATAGATGTAGATGTTTTAAAAACCTTCAGTTTCAATTTAAACAAAAGCTTATCCCTAATCTTGATGTACCTTACCTGATAACACTCTTTTAATCAGTATAGCTATTTTTATGTCGTATTGGATATTAATTTATCAATTTAACTTCTTACTACGATAAATAATAGTAGATTTTTTGAAAGCCTTCAGTTTTAATTTGAACAAAATACGAGTCTGAGCGTTGCTTAATTTCTTTTTGAGCTTTTGGCCTGATAGATATATTAAGTCTTGTTGTTTGAACGCACTTGTTTTCTTGTTGTATTTTTTCTGATAACACTCTTCTGATCAGTATAGTTATTTTTATGTCTTATTGCATTATTGCATATCACTTTAACAATTTAACTTTTTCTTACTAGTAGATTTTTTTAAAAGCGTTTAGTTTTAATTTGAACAGAAAGAGGCTGATCGTTGGTTAATTCCTTTTTGAATTTTTGGCCTAATATGCTTATTAACTTGTTTGGATGGACTTGTTTTCTTATTGTACCTTATCTGATAACACTCTTATGATAGAATAATTATATTTTCTTCCTATTAATTCCTTCTTACTACTATTGTAGATTTTTTAAAAGTCTTCAGTTTTAATTCAAATAAAATACGAGACTGATCATTCGTTCGTTGATCAAGCTTTGGCCTAATATGTTTGTTTGGATGGACTAGTTTTTTTTATTGTACCTTATCTGACAACACTCTTTTGCTTATTATTGTTTTCTGTGTCTTATTGCATATCAGCTTTAAAATTTAATTTTTACTAGAGTGAATGCTTGCAGATTTTTAAAAGCCTTTAGTATCAATTTGAACAGATTACGAAGCTGATCATTGTTCAATTCGTTTTTAATCTATTGGCCTAATATGCATATTAACTCATTTGGATGGACTTCTTTTCTTGTTGTACTTTATCTGATAACACTCTCTTGATCAGCCTAGCTTTTTTATGTCTTATTGCATGTCAATTTAACTTTTACTATAGTAAATAATTCTACATTTTTGATAAGCCTTCAGTTTCAGTTTGAACAGAATAGGAGGCTGACCGTTGATTGATCATTTTTGATCTTTTGTCCTAATACATGTAAATTGGAGTGAGCCTTCAAAATAGGAGATGATTTTAAGATAATTTTTTGCATAACTATGATATAGAGCATAATTTAAGTCTCTAATCTATTTGCCTTCTGAGTGAAATTTATTAATTTGCTCAGTTTGGAGCATAAAGTTTTAAATTTCTTAACTTTTTATACATAAATCAGTAATTATTGCCAATTTAAACAGCAATTTTTGAGAAAAACAAAATATATTTTCAAATAGAAAGATGTTTAGAATTGGGGTTTTGCTATGGTATAAAATATAAATCAAGCCATCTAATCTGGTTTATCTTCTGAAAGTAGTTTAATGATTGGCTTATTTTGGCGCATTATGCTTTAAATTTTACTATTGACTAATTCTACTGCTTATATCTTTAATCTCTATAGGTTATTAGAAGATTAAGGTGGCATTCTAGTATAGAAATTAAAATAAAATAGTTTTTTCTTCTCTTCCATATATTCAAAGTTTAACTATTTAAGAATATGTGTACAAAAAGTTTTTAAAAATTCATATTTTTTTAGGGATACAGCTGTAAGACGATAAAGTTCGATGATAATACTCTTCTGTTTGAAAACTTTAAACTCGTTTTTCTCAAAACCGTTTTTTTTTCAATACGATGTCCACGATTTCTAGAGTTCTACTAAACCGATTTATTTAAAATTTTCAGATAATCTTTTTTATATACTCCTCTCTCGTATATACTAGACTCATCCTCAAATTACAATGTTTTCTATTTATTAAAAATTTGAGAAACTCAAAAAACATGGTAAATAATGGTCATTTTTTAACGGTCAATGAATTTTTTTAACTTGTCCGTAGTATATACTACAGCGACAATATTCTAGATTAGTAATCTTTATTACTTTTTTAATTCATATTACTAGAGGGGTTGCAATCGTGGGCATGGTCACGTGACAATTTTTTGAGCCCCACTTCAACAATTGCTAACTCTTAAAATTGTTAACTTTTTTCTATTCTCTTGAAACATTGATAAATGGATTGCCTTTTTCTACGATGATTTAAAAATGTCAATCAGAGTAAAATTTAATGTCATATTTCTGATTTTTTATAAGGCTGCATATTTGATTTAATTTATCAAAATTCAAAAGAAATACTGGCGACTCGTAGGCTTCAGTGGCCAGTAGCCAGTGAAATGCCAACTGAATTTTTATTTGAACGTAAGAATCTAATAAATAGTTTCAACTTGTTGGGCTGTCTACTTTATTTTTTGAGTTTATGAAATCGGAAACTATTTTTGGATGGCGGTTTGTTGGTCTATCACATTATTTACTGATAAGTGATAACAGTGCACTGCGTTACAAAGCTCGGCCGTTTCAGGGGCGCAATGTCAGCTTGCACATATCATAGAAATGTCTTGTGACATCGCTGCTCTAATCACAATTGTAAATAATTCTTAATGTGTTGTGTTCTTTTCAAATTAAAAATCATCCAATGTTTGCATATTTGTCTAACCTTGTCGACAATCGCGGTTTTCTGCCGAAATTCATATCTATTCGCGGTTTGTTGCATAATACATATTTAGAGCACAGAGATGAACTGGCTCAAATGCGTTTTTTTATTATGAACTCGAATAAAATTTTATTGTTTTTATCTGCTCTTTATAATAATTTATCACTTCACCTTGTAAGCCAATCAAAATTATGATATTTAAATATAATAAGATAATTTATGTAGAAAATTTTATGTAAGGGCGCGTCTATCATAAAGCCTTTATCTTATACAATATTAGATAATCTTATAATTTCATATATGAGATATTAGTTGATATGTAAAACTTTATCAAAAAAATTTCGCCATACTGCAATTGCGATATTGGGTCTACTAATCTTATATATGCGAATTAATATTATATACTTCACTTAAATTTTATCTGGTGATTATTTTTATATATAAATCTTAGAAGGGATATTCAAATAAAAAAGGGGGATTCTAGAAAAATTTTATATTACTACATGTTTCGACATTTAATTTTATGCCTTCATCAGTAGATGAAGGTACATTAATAATAATAAATGTGTATAAGATACATTAATATTGCAGTTGTGTATTTATTTATAATTTTAATTGTAATAAATTTTAACCATTTTTAACTAGAACAGAAGACTATTCAACACATCCGATACCAAGTCTGAGTCTGTATTGTATAATAATATTGTATGTACATACAGACATATATATATACGAGTATATATATGTATATATATATATATATATATTTATATATATATATATATATATATATATATACGTGCATCTGAATTCATTGTATTATATATAACAATTAGTCCATTAAGTTATATATGAAACTTTCTGTTTGTAGCTGATTTATTTGCTTTTTACTGAAACTTTACTATAATTATTAATATGGTTTAGAATAATTCCCAATCCAATTCTGCAGTATTTGCATTTTTTGAATAAAAGTTTTTAAATTTCTATTATTTCCCGCGTTTGAATTATTTTCCAATTTTTGTAATATATTATAGCATTACTTTTAACACTTATACATAAATAATAATGCCTTACATTAAATATATGATTAAAACAAGAATCATTTATTTTCTGATTACAACAAAAATCAAGATAATAAAGAAACTAAGTTACAAATTCTTTTAAGTAATATATTCTGTATACATTTTATTTGCACATAAATAATATGCATTAATTAAATATCGAATTAAAACAAGACTCATTTATTACATCAAAAATCAACATAATAAAGAAAATAAGTTACTAAATAAACGCCTTAATTTTGTTAGAACAATTTGTCGGTATTTCGTAAATGATCCATTAAATTATTTTAATCTATATATTTCAATAATGAATTAGAAAAAAAAATTATAAAAATTATTTGTAATTTAGTAATGTTGTGAACGTTTCTCATCGTAGTATTTCCATGGTGTTAAGCTACGCCCTGATCAAGAATTCGTATCAGTAGATAACGATATCAAAAATTACCTCTGATAGCGGTTAAGTCTGTCGCGAATCGTAGCATCTATTTTCGCAATATAATAATACACTAAATAGGTATATAGTTACAGTATAAATATCTAGGTTAAAATTAGTGATCGCCAAAAAGATTAATTAATTATCATTTATGCATGATCAATTATTGTCAATCAATCAATTATCAAACATGTTTGGCCTTAAACTCACCCGCCTACAATAGACAGAACCGCAATGATAGACACTAAAAATATCTTCATCATGTACTATATGCAGTTCACCCAACACTTCGCGAAATATATCACTATTATTATCCCTTCTCCCAACTTTTTCCTTATGTCGCGACTTCACCAGCCTTATTTATTATCACTTTTACTATTAATGAAATTGTCAAGAACTATTGTTTTATTTTTTAATTTCTGTCGGATTTTAGGACGGTCGCCGGCACGCGGTCCGTAGATCAAGTTGACTCAAAAAAATGATATATTAAATGAATGTTCGGCAATATTGGTCGAGTTTGCTTGTAATCTTATCTGGTCTCGCGGCATTCTACGTAAACAAAGCGACAAATGTAAAGGGGTATGCGCTTGCATTGGTCGCGGGCAGGGGAACGCATTTATTTCATAGATGGTCAAATTTAAAGATAGGTTTATTAATTATATTCCTAACAATTAATTAGAAGTCATTTAATTACCAATTGGTTAGTGGTATATAAGTTTGAATGTGATATAAATAATAATCGTTGAAAACAATCGAAATAAGTTATATAAAAAATATTTTAAAAGTAATTTAATTACCAATTGGTTAGTGGTTATAAGTTTGAATGGGATATAATAATCGATGAAAATCATCTAATAAATAGGTTATATAAAAAAATATTTTAAAAGTAATTTAATTACCAATGTGTTAGTGGTTATAGGTTTGTATATGATATAACAGTCGTTGAAAACTATCGAAATAAGTTAATTAAAAAATATTCTAAAAGTTGAAGGGAATCATATCAATTCAAAATTTTATAAATTTAATTTTATATGTTATTTATACATATATGGAGGTGTAGTCCATATTAAATACCAAAATGATAGACAATAATAAATTTCATAAAATATTATTTATATTTCGTTTATTTTATATATGATTAATATCCACGACACTATGTGTTGTCATACTAATCGTTAATAAAATGTTATTGGTATTTTCGTATTTATAATTGAAAAGAAAGGTTTTAAGAATCATACATTTTAGGCAAATTCGACTAGGGAGAAACAAAAACCGTGTCCGATCTGACACTTGAATTTCCTTTTGTTTTTCTCAGTGCTGTCACTATATGGGCCAATCTGTCCAGAGACATGTGATGCGTGTTGACAAGCCGCTATGCGTGTTGGCAACCCGCTACATCACTCCGCCCTAATGAAAAAGATTGTTTCGCATCTCTGACTGCCATTCTTGAACTTCCTTGTAAATTTCTTTTGGTTGAGATTGTGTGATAAATTGCCGTGTTGGCTTGTTGAGTTTGTTGATTGCTTACGTGGCCCTTCGCTGGTGAGTTAGCGGTTGAGTAGATGTGGCCCTTCGCTGGTGAGTTAGCGGCTGAGTATATTTGACACTTCGCTGGTGAGTTAGCGGTTGAGTGTATGTGGCCCTTCGCTGGTGAGTTAGCGGTTGATTGTATGTGGCCCTTCGCTGGTGAGTTAGCGGTTGATTGTATGTGGCCCTTCGCTGGTGAGTTAGCGGTTGATTGTATGTGGCCCTTCGCTGGTGAGTTAGCGGTTGAGTGTATGTGGCCCTTCGCTGGTGAGTTAGCGGTTGAGTGTATGTGGCGGTTGCCAAATTGTTTGCTCCCTGTCTGTTGCCATGGTGCTTATTATCGACTTATTTACCATGATAATAAGTGATTTATTGAGCACGTGTTATTGTTGATCTTGAAGTGCGTGGTCGGAGTCTCAGTTGTAGGATTAGAATGTTCTTCTAGTTATGGCGGTTGTGAGCCATTTATAATAATTATTTATATTTTTAAAAATTCTTTTCTTAGTAATTCTTGAGACTTCAATTTATTTTTTTTTGTGCTACTTCAAAATATGTCTTGATCTTCTTACCTTCTTGTATGTGTGTTACTAGTTCACTCTCGGGGTCACCAAAATATGGAGGTGTAGTCCATATTAAATACCAAAATGATAGACAATAATAAATTTCATAAAATATTATTTATATTTCGTTTATTTTATATATGATTAATATCCACGACACTATGTGTTGTCATACTAATCGTTAATAAAATGTTATTGGTATTTTCGTATTTATAATTGAAAAGAAAGGTTTTAAGAATCATACATTTTAGGCAAATTCGACTAGGGAGAAACAAAAACCGTGTCCGATCTGACACTTGAATTTCCTTTTGTTTTTCTCAGTGCTGTCACTATATGGGCCAATCTGTCCAGAGACATGTGATGCGTGTTGACAAGCCGCTATGCGTGTTGGCAACCCGCTACACATACATCTATAATAAATAATAATAATAGGTCAGGTCCTACAACTAAGCTTAACTCCACCTCGAAACAAGGAAGAATAGTGTGAGAGATTTTCTATTACCATTTTACACCGCAATGCTATAAAATTGGGTTATTTTAATTTGGAAACATATTTTTAACTTCCCGTAGGGTAAGTTATTGTAATGGGCCGAAAATTGAAATTGAAAATTTTTACATTTCTCGACGTTTTGAAGGTTTTAACAAAATTATTGATTTTGGAAAAAAAAGTTTTTGCTTCAAAATTTTTTTTTCGAAAAATTTTTTTTTTGTATATCGAAAATAATTCAGATTTTAATTTTAATTCTGTTCTAATATACTTTAAACAAATAATTTCAACTTGCCAATTTAGTTTATATAATTCTTATAAATATTCGACAATGTTACAATATTTATAATAATCTATTTCAAAACATTTAATATTCTTCGATCATTTCGTTACGGTACGGAAAGTTCCAGCAATTTGCCTTAAGGCACGATGCCATACACCCCACTAGTTGATCTATATTTTCCTCTGAAAATTTGTATCACTACTCCACGATATCTCTTTGTCCAGAGCTGAAATTGAAATCACGATTTTGTCTACACAAGGCAGTGTGCTCAACTGTTACGCCATGGGAGATTTATTGTATGTAATTCGTACCTACCTGTATAATAAATAATAATAATAGGTGCTTTGCCCTAGGTCAGATTTGTCAGCCGAGTTAAACTCCAACTTGAATCAGGAAGAAATAGTATGAGAAATGTGCCCGAAATGGGTTATTTTATTTTGGAAATATATTTTGGTATGTTCTCCATTCACAGAAATATTTATTTCTATATTTATTTATATTTATTTGTGTATATATTCACATGTTTAGTACTATGTCAAACATTGCAAGAGATAGTTGGTGTTTTTTTGTTTTTCAAAAATAAAATAATTTAAATAAAATATCAAATAATGTATTAGTACATAATTTTTACTGTTTTGAAATCACACCTAAGATGAGGCATACCATGGACTCGAAAAGTGTGTTAAAAATCTGAGTGTTGATTGTTCATATTTAACATTTAATAATCGTTTCACTTATATCACAAATTTTTGTTATATATATATATATATATATATATATTTCTTTTGTAATTAAGCCTTATTTTTTCTTTCAAAAATTCTTTAAATAATTTTTCATTTTATTCAACGTTTCGGAGTCATGAGGTGTCTACTTCTTATTGGACTTATTGATAACAAATTAAAAAAACTATTATGCATGTATGCACTTATTGAATTATTTTTAAATTGAATTCAATTTTTTATCTTTATTTACTAAATTACTAAACATTTTCTAAATCAAACACTAATTGAAAGCAAACATCGAACGCAAAATACGTTCAAACTCGATATTTTACTATAGTAGTGTAGTTGTTTTTAATACTAGAATTTGAAACTGAACTGAAAATTCTAGTACAAAAATCTGCTCAGTAGGGAGAATATGTATTATATGTAAATGTGATTATGAAATTAAAGTAAATAATTTATTTAGCTAAACAGTTCCAATTTTTATATATGTATGTATTTATTTGGCGGTTTCTTTACCGCAACTATCAGCCTTGCCTCACCACATAAGTTGGTTTCTCAAATAAAATATTCATCAAAAATAATTTATAATCACTCAAATTAGAGCATGAATAATACACGATGATATAAAATTATAAATAAAATTGACCAGTATATGTATTTATGCCGTTTTACTAAATTAAAAAAAAATGTATCAATATCTTATTCATACATTAAAAAATCACAATGATTAATGTATTATATATATATATTTAAGTAGCTATTATTTTTGTAAATTTATTATTTTGTTATCTTGGTCACAACTGATCTATACTGTCGAGTATGACCATTTAGCGTTTGACTTGTGATACCTGGATTCGAATTTCGCACGCATACGCTTTTATCGCATATAAAAGCTCTGAGCATGATATAAAGGTCAATTTATGTGATTAACGGTGCTGTAGACAATATTTTTTGTTAATTAATACCGAAAGCAAAAGTAGACTTCCTTGTCATCGCTGCATTAAATGAAATTAATATTAGAGAAATCTAATATTAAAAGCATCAAATTGAGGTAGGTCAACAGTTGGGTTGCCTTCTAAAAAAGCTATGAATTAATCATAGTTTATGCAACAGCATATAAAACTCTTAAGTTCCCATCACTGTTGAAGTAGAAAAATCAAAAAGAAAAAATATATACCACAATTTGCCGTTGAATTATTTTGTAAAATATCAGAAACTACACTTTCTAATCGCGCGATGCTGTCGATGTGAAATTTATCTTGAATCATGGTGTTCTACATTATATTATAGCATTTTTAACTCAAGAAAAGATATTATGTTTAATAAATTGCTGAAATCAATGGAATTAATAGTAATAATTGTGGGGGCGTCCAATTATCGCAATTACCTCAAATGGGAGGCGTCCAATTATCGCAAATACCTTTCCAATTTAAATGGGGAGAGACAAAAGATCAGGAAATGTCAAAAAATGTGTATTTTTTATCTCAATTTAAAAAAAATCCAAAAATTTGCAAAAAAAATTAAAATTTTTCGTTTTTGTCTAACATAGGCACGAAAAATACACGTGATGTTTGGTGAGGGACGGGGGGTAATTTTAAATATCACTAAGGGGAGGGGGGAGTTCCAAAAATCTTAGAAATTGCTCACGTGATTAATGGGGGGCGTCCTAAATGGAATCTATTCCTTATAAACGTTAGTGATATGTGAGGATTGTCATTTTTAAAAACAAATTATGTAGAGATTTGTATGAAATAATTTGTAATGATAAATATTAGCAATTTTACGGGTTTCTTGAAAAAGTGAAAATTGCTAAGAAATTCTTATTCATATATGATAAAAATAACTATATGCAGAAGAAAATAAAGAATTTTGCTTTGAGGTAAAAATTGATTTTTCACATGACCATCGCGAGTAGAAGGTGCAAAGGTGGTGCTTTTTCGATTTCGAAGAGTTT